GCCCAGCTGGAAACACTTTACGCAAGTCGAGCTGCCCGCGATTCTCAGAATGTACAGAAAATGTAAAATTTTTGTGATTTATATCGTTATCAGGACGATAGATGTCTTATATCGGGATATGAGATTTTGGTCATATCGCACAATTAAGTATTCCGGTCCATACTTAGGTTGAGTTACACGTGTAATGACTAAAACCAAAGTAACACTAAGACAAGTAGTTTAAAAGGTTTAGGAATGAAACAATAGTTTAGGTTCCTGTCAGCATAGTCACTAAACGTAAAGTCAGCTAAACAGAATTACTTACTGCGACATATACAAAGACAGATGTTTGTAACAGTAAAATGTTGAACAATAACTTGTGATGTATGAAGTGTTATTTCCTGTTTCCTGATTTTGGTATTTTTTTTAAGTGCAACAATAAAAAATGCCACAGAAGTTATGGGGTATTCACCATGGAAACGGCTATCAGCGGTCTACAGCCACAACATTCGAGTGACAATGGCCAAAATAACTACTGGTGACACAAAGTGGTTGGGTCCCGTGTTAAACTTTTTTTTGTTTTTTGAAATGAGTTGAAATGAGTACTAATGAGACTGGAAATTGACATTTGAAAAGGTATTAAAAACATTAAAGAGTTATCAGACCTTAACCATCAGCTATAAAGTCATGCTTTACAAGGAAATAACTTACCGTGTGGACAGGAAGGCAATCTGTGTACAAACGGGTCAGACACTATAGTCAGAATCCTCGAGCAAGCTGGCACAGATCTGGCATGTGTTTTATGTGTGTATATATATCTCTATATCTAGCTCTAAACAAACACTGAGTGAGAATCCCACGAGCTGTGCAGTTATTCAAGCACAGACTCATCTAAATGTATCCAAATTATCTTAAAGAGTAGTTTACAGTTTTCATACTGAACCACGGTGTGTGTGTGTATGAAATGTTTGGGGGACCCATTCTAGCCAAAAAGTTGCTGCTGAGATTTATTGCCTTTGACCAAAATGTCACACAAACAGTCTGAAACTGCCTCTCTTTGAGCCACTACTGTTCTTGTGGTTACAAAATATTTATTGGTCACAAGGAAAAAGGAAGTTGGGAAGTAGTCATCAGTTAATGAGTTAACGGTAAAAGATCAGGAGATTTATTTCCATTGACATTTGAATGCTTAAAATGCTAAAATACTATATTTGCAGTTTGGTATGTACGTAAAATGTTTCTCAGGAATTCATTTTTTTACCACGACTGGCCTCGAATCTCTCGGACACAATGGGAAACAGTGTGTAGCAAACTAGGTTGTCAAATTAATTTCCTTAGTGTTAATAAAAGACAGCTTAGCCTGACTAAGAGGAACATAATTAACAAAAATCCTTTAATTTACTTGATTGTCCCTTGGATGAACTTGTGATTTACTAATTAACCTGTTGCAGCCAATTTCCCTCAGTCCCAGTAATGAGCAGACTGGTGAATGCAATCAGCCTGACTCTGTCATTATGCGTTATGAATAAATGTATGCATTACCATTATTATCAATTACATGTCCTACAATACATAATCATGCATAAATTATGCATATCTATTCAGCTCCTCACCTATTAGCTCTTTTCTGAATTGCTTATTCAGAAACAGCTCAGCTAACGGGCACGCAGTCCCCAGCACTGACCCACATGCACAGACTCACACAATCGACACTAACTGGAGTTTCCCAAATTCTCCAAATGATCTAAACCAAAAAGGCCAACTGAGAAAACATTTGAATAATGTGTGGTCACATGTGGGGGGTTACAATACTTTCAACAGCTAAAGTACAGTGGGACAGACCCTCCTCAGCAAAGAGCTGGAACAGCTTGTCACTTCCTATTCGTTGCATCATGTGGCTCATGGTCTCGGCTACTTCCTCTTTTCACTACGTATCAATAGTAGACGACAGTATTTACTTTCCACCACACGCGCCGGGGAGGCTGTATGAAGAACAACTAGTTTGAGAACTTCATGACGATTTACATATTCGATTTATAATGGATGGAGATCTGCTGTCTTTGTCATCTTCCTCCTCGTTATCATCTTCAGCAGCAGAAGGAGAACCAACAGGAGGACAGAAAGATGCTTCACCTAAAAGTGACAGCAGCCTTCCTCAGAGCCAACAGGAACCCAAATCAGCTGAAGAAGAGTTATGGTGAGTGTGTAAGTGTGTGTGAGTGCGTGTGTGTGTATTTCTACGTATGAAATAGAAACAAAAACAGGAAAATATGCGGTAAATCGTGTCAATCACAGCCTCAAATCCACTCATGGTAAGATTTATGTAGGCAGGATTGCATAGATGGCTACCTATAGTGTACAAGGGGTGCTGAGTTTCTGTCCACCTAAAAAAAGTACATAGTTTCAGACCCCGAGGTATACAATATATTTTAGAAATGCTTTAAAAAGACTCAAAGTCCCATTGTAGATAAAAAACCTTTTAAGTGACATGTTTTTAAAGATATTTGTGTAGTTTTACGAGGAAGTTCCCCTCAGCGAGAGGAGGAATAAAGAGTAACTGCGGAGTTTCCCATGAGATCACCAAAAAAACGTAGGCTTCAGTTCACTGTTTCGCAAGACTTGGTTTAAATAGAAACACCACCAAAATGTCATTTCTTGCTTAATGTCAAGAAATCAAACTTTAAAAAAGTATCATTTAAGTGTCTTTTATGTTTCTTACACTTATTTCATGGTACATATAAAACATATGCGTGTGACTAATATTCTTTCTCCTCAATGGGGGGTGGGTACACTTTATCACAGTATTTACCCATATGATGAGTCTTAAAATCAGCCTCGTCCGCCTCCTCCTGTGGGGCTTTAACTGTGGCCACCCCACGCACAAGTAGAGTGATATTTGTCAGGGTTACCAGCAAGAAGGAAAGATTTTTTTCTGTCTACCTCTTTATTATATGCCATGACAGTAAATTACCATATTGCCGCAGAAGGCAGTAGCATTTTGGTGTCCTTCCGAGATGGCATATGATTGAAAACTTAGTGAAACTGGGTCACGGAGTGTGTATCGACTGTCAAAGCTGGAAGAGAAAAAGCTCTGTATCAGGGAGACATGGAGCATAGTTGCTTCAGTGGGATGGCTGAATACACAGTGTTAGCTTGCCAAGACAGGGTTTTTGGCATGGGTGCATTTGTATTTAATGCCGCAGTGGCCACTAAAGTTAGGCTCTGTTTCATTTCATTGTGTTTCTTTACAGCTTCTGCCCTCATACTGCACCTCCCAAACTGCAGAGCAGAGGGTTCATTGTAGCTGATTTCCCTATTAGTGACCATAAACAGTCTGTGCTAAAGCCCTTTGTGCTCTCGTTGAGCCCAGAAATATGACAGATGGCACAGTGTAAAATTAGACAAGCAGTTTTAACCATGGATACACTTGCTTTTTGTATAATAACCGTTTCAAATCTCAGAACAGGCTTTGAGCATTTTAAACGTACCAAAGGAACTTTTGCAGAATTTCCTCAATGTTTTTTGAAAATATCACCTTTTCAGAGAACAAGAAAAAAGTCACTGTTCTGAGTGTTGTTAGCAACATTTATTTTGTTATCCAGGGCTTTCAGCAGTTTTTAGAAAAGCATAGTTTTTAAATGAACTTTGGTTACTAAGAGAGGTTATACGGGGCACTGGTGTATTTGGAGGAACTTTTGAGGTTTGTTTTGTCGTTGCTAAGCTAAACTAAAATGTTGCTGGTGCCCAAAATTAGTAACACTGGACATAGAATGAAAATAATAAAAAAAAAACAACTTCCCTTAATACTGTTCCTATAATCACGAGAGGACACAGAATGTATAGTCCCATTAGAGAAGCTGATTTACCTGACAGCAAAGTTATCTATTTAAATAAAGGTTAGCGCAGAGCACCAAGTAGGTCCAAGTAGGGTTTGAACCTGGTAGCTGGGGCCTTTTTACATGTACTTTGACTTCCTGGTAGCCAGGTTTGGGGGGATTCCCACTGTCCTATCTCTATCAGCCCTGACTACGCCCTGACAGCTGAGATAGGCTTCAGCTAGAGGTGGGCAGATCGAACCAGATAATCATTTTTTGGAAATTAAAAGAAATATACCACAAACATAACACATGTTATTTATAGCCTATAGCAGATTTACAGATTTAAACAAGAGAAGCCAACCCAAAGTGCTTTAGAGAAAGGTACATTTGCATTCCAGATCACCAAAATCTCCAAAAATCCCAGTTTCTGTCACCCAAATGCAGAACTAGGAAGACAAAAGTAAAGTAAAAATCACAGCTTTACTCAACACTTAAAAAACAACAGAGAACAACGACTAACTAAACTACTGTAGGGATGTACGCATGGATGTAAACTCATACATCATGAGGGAGAACACGGCAAAGAACAAAGGGAGACAATAGATGCACAGCAGAAGCAAGAATGGACACACCTGGGGTACACAGGCAGGAGGCTACCAAAGTAAAACAGGAAACAGCACACTCGATCAAGACCGAGACACATGAATTTCACATAGTACTGGACCACAGATGAATAAACATGAAAGCAGAGGGAAATCAGACAAACACGGGGACATGACCAGGGAGATAAAGGATAACAAAACCCGGAGACTAGACAGACGAAAACAAGAGGCACTGATGACAAGGCAGAGACGAAACCAAGGAACAGACTAGACACGAGAAGAGAACCACACTGCTCTCTCCTGCATACGCCGTCTTCACAGGTATCAGTACTGTATCAGCAACACTGGCCCTGTATTTACTTGGTATCAGATTGATACCATGTGTGCAGTATTGCACAGCACTAGCTTCAGCAACCCTGAAATGGATAATGGAAGAAAATGGATGTATGGTTAGATTTATTTATTTTAACAGATTACATCACATTTATATATAAAAAGAGTCTTGGTAGCAATAGTAATAATAGTAATAGCTTCAAAAGTTAACCCATTGTGCCATTTTGCTCATGATTAGACTTCCATGTTCCTATTTGTGGCTATTGCCTTGCTGCTTTCTGAAATTGTGTAACACAGATTTTCACATAGCAGGACACTGAACATAAGTGGATGAAAGCATGTGTTTGCGGAGGAGTTTAGCCTTGAGGGGAATGAGGTATGATCGCAAATTGTTATTCTTTGTAGTACTTAGCTTTGTGAGGTTGCAGCAGTATTTTTGTGTTAAGAAGCCCTGCGGCCTGCGTTCACTGTTTTGTGTGTTCCTCTGTGAGCAGATACCCCACCTCCCCACCCTCGGGCTTCTTCTCCCCCTTTCGACTGCTTAGCTGTTTCTTTTTAAGTGGAGCTCCTATCAGAGCTGGTAGAAAGGAAGCTAGTTTGACTAATTAGACCTTTGCAAATATTTTTCGTTCCTGCGTGCAGTTCAATAGAAAAGTGCATTTTCCAGGGATCATCACCCACGTTGTTTCCATGGGCTATCAATGCGCAGATACATCGGATAGTAAACAAACTTTGATATGCCAGGAGAGACACTGAGAAGAACATCGCTCTGTGTGTGTGTGTGTGTGTGCGTGTGCCTGAGTATTTTGAGTACATAATGTGACTATGCATTTGTGTGTGTGTGTGTGTGTGTGTGTGTGTGTGTGTGTGTGTGTGTGTGTGGGTGTGCATAATGGCTCCTATTCGATTCCCTGTAAGTGCACTCTACGGGAGTGGGCGTTCAAAAGTACCTTGACTTTTTTTTAAGTGTACATGTGCTGGCTTATTAATGGAAATCCTTTTCTGATGTTCTTCATCGTGATTTTATTTAAGGCAAACTCCATATCCTCCTCTGGTATGTATGCATGTGTAAACAGCATCTGTGTGTCGTGTGCAGGGTGCAGGAGGAGAGTCCCGTGGCTGACAGGCTGCTGTCCACAGAGGAGCAGGTGACTCTGATCACAGAGAGTCTGACAGTCACCTCGACTGACCAGGAAAAGCTGCTGCTGCTCAACAAGAACACTGAGCTCCGCAGAGTCAACAAGGAGGTACAGCATCGCATTAAAACCGGCACATATTCTCCACCGGCCCGCATTTTATTGCTGATGTTGGCAATTACATTTAGTTCTCTCTGAAAACCAGAGGAGAACTGTGGGTGTTGTGTGAAAATTGCTGCAAAGCTGTGAAGAACCATCATTTCAGTTCAATTTTTCACTATTATACAACCAGGGCTTCCTGATTTTAATTAGTTGCTTCTTAATAAAAAAGGAAACCGGGGGGGGGGGGGGGGTAACTCTAATGCATTTAGAGTAAGAATGAAGTGCCCGGCTTCAGTTTGTGATGCCAGCATTGTTGTGACGACAGACAGAGTGACGGCAGTAAAGATTTAATGAACGAAGCTATTGATTACTGCAGTGGAGGCCTTGGCAGTAATGACTGTTGTGTGATGATGATGGTCATGATGATGTGTCACAGCTGATGAAGCTGAACGAGGACTGGGACCAGGTGTACCGCAGTGCCACGCTGCGTCTACAGCACAGGCTGGAGGCTTTGGAGCTGGAGAACAGCGCAATCAAACAGCTAAACAACAGACTGCTCCTCAAAGTTGAACATCAGCAGGTAAATGCAACAATACTTTAAGCACTAACACACCACCGCACAACTTATTCCGGGCATTTGCTTATATACTGAGAAGTGGGTGTCGTAGACGAGGGGATTCCTAAACAGTTATCTTGCAGCTGTTTTAAATAGCCATCGATAATAGATGTGGTTTGCATGGGTGATATTTATTGCTATATTTGGGATTGCAGAGTGCAAAGGAGTACTATGAGCAAGCATTGATACAGGAGCTAAAGAAGAACCAAGAGCTGCAAGAATATATCAGGCTGCTGGAGAGCAGGTTGCACCACCCAGGGAGAGACTTCACACCTGCCAAACCGGTATTGCTCCTGTCAGAGGTTCTCACCTGTACCTGATCCCATTGTGCATTTTCTTTTCTTTTTTTCAGTTGTATGATCACAGTGTTGCTCATCTCTTTGTCTTTTTTTTTTCCATCAAAGGGAAGCTTTACTACTGTGATGCGAGGTCCAGCTCTGGGCCCCGGAAGTCATCCTGACCTGTCTTGCGGCTCTGCGCAAAACCCTTCACCCTCCTTTTTCCCAGCTTCTACCAGCCCAGAGGCTGAGTATCAGCGAAAAGGCCAGGCCAGCAGTTCCCCACTGGGAGTGCTGGAAAACTCCAAGCAAGAAGTGCATGATTTAAAAGAGCAGCTGGAGGCACTGAGATGTCAGGTGGGCTGCTCTCTTCTACACAGCTTCCAGAAATGTGTCTGTTTCTAATGAGAGGAGAGCAGAATTGATGTCGACTCACTGTTGCCAGGGAAAGATTTGCTTAATGCTGAAAGAGACTTCAATGAAGCGGTGAACGGCACCACCAAGTGGTGGCTCTGTGCCGCGCAGACATTCATAATAATAAGCGTCCGCAGATTGCAAGATACGGCTTTAACGATGGCTCGCTGCCGTGTTTTTGTCTTGTGTCAGCAGACTGAGATATATGAGGCAGAATATCAGACAGAGCACAACGACCACAAGCACACGCTGCAGGAGAACCGAAGGCTGAGGAAGAAGAGAGAGGAGATGCGCCAACAGGTGGCACTACTGCAAGAACAGGTAGTGTTTTTGTCTATGCAGAAGAGTACACACTCACACAGGCGAACACACCCACATTCATACTTAAATCCCTTAAGCAAAGATTATGAAACCTGCCTGCTGTCTGATCTTGATGCAAACCTTGCAAAATAAATGTGAACCAACAGAAAATTCATGCAGTGACTGGTTATTTCTTTTGGCTTATAGTGTCAAACTAGAGACTTTAATGCCATATTTTTATTTATGTAATATGTTTAAACATATTGTAGTAGGCATATATGATTAATCCACAGCTGCTCCAAATAAAAAAATATACGGATTAAACCCCTTTCAGCTTCGACCTGAATGTCTTAAAGATGTGTTTGTCACTGGAATCTCGTGTGTTCTTTCTCATCAGCTTAAGATATATGAGGATGACTTCAGACGGGAGCGGTCGGACAAACAGATGCTGCAGAGGCTGCTGTTACAGAAGACGTCTGAAAACAAAAACCCTGTGCTCATCCACCGCTGTAATAATGAGCAGCAGCTGCTAGGGGGCGACAAGAGACCACAAAATGGAGAGAAAAGGAAACAGCACCACCCACTCTGCCCAAAGCACCCAAACAGGGACAAAGAGTCAGTGTGACACTTAGAGGGACTCACATCAGACTCACTAAATGTGTCAGCAGCTCTCAAAGGATCTTGAGTACTAAGTCTCGTCTGGAAAAGCATCATTAGACAAAGTAAAACTCTTCATGTAATTTTTTAAGCACTTCAGCACAAACATTTGCCAGTGTGTACATAACTCTCACTGCTGCAAGTTTGAAGTTTCCTTATAGTGTAAAAAGAACAACCTTATGAAATATTCCCTTCACAGTCGAAGAGAAACTGAAACAAAAAGAACAGAAAGAGAAGTAGGAGACCAGAACTGAGCGAGAAGATGAGTGAACCAAAAACTGTAGTTTGAGCTAAACAAACACCTCACAGATCCTCAGCTGACAGCTTCACTGTTTGTGCACGAATGTGCTGGTTTGTGAAAGGAAGTAGTTACACACTGCTGTACGTATGACATCATCACTTAGAACAAACATAACCAGACAAGTTTCAGAAGAAGGTTCTTTCTTTTATTTTTAAGGAATATTTTGAAACTATAATGACGTTGTTACTTAACATGACAGTTTTCAGCTGTGCTAACTCGATCACTTACCCACATAACTTAACTTATAACTTAATAATTTAGCAATGCGGGACTGATATTGGTTGAAGATGTGCCTGTGTAGATAGTTTAGTCAAAATCAGGCATGATTTAGGAGTGTAGTTCATCACACTTGCATCGTTTCATGTTTCTGATAAAGTGTAAATATGCTTTTATTAGGATTAACATATTTAAGTTGCCTTTTGAATCTTTCACTTCATTGCAACACTTTTGTGTAACCCTTTTTTGTAAAAGGTCATTGAATATCTATAATGTTTAATTAAACATACAGATAATTAATATCACTAACAATTATATTTTTATTAGTTTGTGTAATTAAAGATTGTTTAAATGGCATATGTTGTATATACCATGGTGTTGGTGGTTTTGTAGTACATTCATGCTTTTACTGATCAATGATCATTCCTGACATCTCACAAACACAGACAAGGTGTTATGTTATGTTATGTTATTAACATAAGGTTTAGCGTCATACTAGTCATCATAATAATGCTTATATATGCATTACAAATTATTTATTCTCATATGGATTCATAAATGACAGTTGTGGCTTTCTTAAGCTATCTGTGTAATGTTCATAGATACTAATTGGCTAATATACAAAGCAGTTATTAGCCAATTAGTAAACATTATAAAATAAAGCATGATTTGATGATCAATTTTAATACATGTATTCGCATTGATTCAGAATACCAACACAGCTGTGGTTCTTCAGTGGACGCATTGCACTGAACCATCAAACCTATTTGCAATTTCAGAAAGTTGTACAAGGAAGGTTGAGTGGGTTTTTTTCCTCAGAGATTAATATCTTTGCAGTCTGAAGGAAGCGGTTAGGGCTGCTGCACCTTTTTACTGCTAAGTGGTCTTTGTCGTCACTGAAACCAGAGGTCACCAAAGAGTGACTGGAGGGGTTTTCCTAAACAAGATTTTCCACTGCATACTTCTAGGTTTTTGTAACAGACTGTGAAAGGTTGCCTGTCTTTGTATTAAAGGGTTGTTACGTTTATTCGGTCACTGATTAATTGATTTTCACAGATATATTTAAAAGCACAATTGCTTGTCAGCACCAAAGTGATGGAAGGAAGTCACTGTGGAAGCTGCTCTTTGTCACACTGAAACCGATCTGCATCCTCAAACTGATGGGTTGCTTCTACGCTGCTCATTCATCCCTGTTTTCCAGTTTATGAATAAAATATATTGTTATTAATTTTCCCACAAGACCTTGAATCTAGTTTGGTCTTTTTATCAGCTTTTATCATTGAAATATAATGACACAAGTTATGGTTATGGTTACAAGGTTATGCTTTTATTGCATTGGCACTGTGTTTGGGATTTTTTGCCATGGTGAATAATTAAGCCGTTCGCAACCAGGTGCTTTCCAGATGGTGTTTTACGGTGGATCAAAAGAGGTACTGACATCAGTGACATCAATCTAGACAAGAGCCCAAACACCAGTGGCTGAAATGCAGCCCCAAACCATGACGGAGCCTTCACCGTGTGTTACAGATTGCTGTAGAAACTCACTGTTTTACGTCTATCTTGACCTGCTGCCCACAGATGTGCTCAGAAGTTTACATATGGGCATAGCTGTCAGTCCAGTTCTTATATAATTCTCCCTCTTTCCCTTCATTATGAATAGCTTCTTGACAGCCACCCTTCACAGAGACCATTTCTGATGAGGCTTCAGTGAAGAGTAGATGGTTTGACTGAAGCACCAGATGTATTCTTGAAATCTTGTCTCAAGTCTTTCATGGATTTTTACCTATTGTTTAAGGACGGAAGAGGCTTGGTTCAAAACTTTTACACAGCACCACTGATATAATAGGAAAGGACAGAGAAAAATAAAACATCTTCACACCATCATTATGCACAATATGAAGTATGTCTTTTTCTCATCGGTTCCTCATTATGTAAATTCCTGACAAGGAAAAGAACATGTTGAACAAAAGGTCAATGAATTCATGTTGCTTGAAATGTTTTTGTTTCACAACATGTCACACCTTTAAGATACAATTTCTTTTTCCTGATGGTAAAATCGTTCACTGCTCTGGTATTCATTGACCTCAAAAGGATGGAATGTGACAATCATTGTGTGGCACAATTTCAAAGCAAAGACGTTTTACGATGACACAGAGAGGAGGTCCTTGGAAGGTGGGTTGTACACTATATAAATCTGTGCAGCAGAAGCATTGGAGAGCATCCAGGATCCAGACTTGGAGAGACACCAACTGAAGACTGAACAGTGCACAGGTATGATGCTATTAACACATTTACTCCAGCAGTTATGGTTAATAATAACAGCTGTATTCCCTGTGGTACATTCTCCACATTTCACCAAGTTACACATTTCTTATTTTACTTGTTTTTTACTGTGGTTTTGCCACTCCAGAAAAATAAGTCAGTTTTGCATCTCTGTAGGGTGTTTTCTTAATTTGCTTTAGTCCACAGAACAAACATTGTTTATATGGTTTATTTTCAGCCATCATGGCAAGTGGGCAGGACTTTTTTATTTTTATGTCGCTGAAAACACGAAGGAAAACAGGAACTGTTTTGCCTTACCAACTTTTCTATATCTTCTCTACCCCTTAAATACCACCTCAACAAACAGCTTCTACATTATAAATTCTGAAAAAGCCTTAGCCATCGTCTGTGAGACAAGTCCTGCAGAGATGACTGCATCCACAGAGAAACTGCGAGAGAGCTACAACCAGCAGGGCTTCCTCTCGGCACTGCCTGTGCTGAATGAGACAGAGCTGAGGGAAGCAAGAGATGCATTTTCTAAGTTGGAGATGGAATTTGGTAAGTAGCACACAGCGATGAAGAGAGATGGGTAACAAGACAATGCTAGTGCAGAAAAGACAGTTGAGGAAAAAGTAGCAACAGATCATTAATGAGTTGAATTTATCTTCTAAAAGTACGAATATGCATAAAAGTAATTAAAACTAGTAGACTAAATGTTGCCCTGTTTTTTCTAAGGAAAGCTGTGTTATGTTTATACATATATCCAGGTACTGAGTACACGCAGTACAGCCTTCACAATGCTCACCTCCAGTATCCATGGGTGATGAACCTGACCAAGCACCCTCACATCCTGCAAGTGATCACAGCCGTCTTGGGCCCAGATGTGATCCTGCTGGATTCCCGCTTCATCTGCAAATACCCAGCATCGGTCAAACCAGCCAAGGAGGAAACGATTACCCAAAGCAATGGGCACGCTGAAAAAGATGAACTTCCATACGTGGCCTGGCATCAGGACATGAGGTAAATTTTACTCAACAGACAAAGAAGCAAACACGTGTTTGTTTTGCTTTCCTATGCCTAACTCTATTTGTTTGTTCAGGTACTGGGGTATCACTGGCGGCCCTGTTCTTTCTGTGTGGCTTGCTTTGGATGACTCACTAAAAGAAAACGGTGCCCTGCGGGTTGTCCCAGGTATTTCATCTGCTTTAGTGTTTTGTTTTTCTTTTATACAACTTGCTATAAAATGTGCTTTCTAAAATCAGCAGTCTTACTCACAGTGTTGAACTTTGCCTCCTGTAGGCAGCCACTGCTCAGGCATGTTGCCCCATCGCCAAGCCCTCCGTCCTGGGAATATGCTGTCAGTGAACCAGGAGATCCCAGAGGAGCTGGTGCAGGTGGAGGAAGCTGTGTTATGTCCTCTGTTAGCTGGACAGATGTCTGTGAGTTCGGTTTTATTCTTAACTTAAAAGGTTGTAAATGAGGATAAAGACATTGTATGTTGAATGAATGACCTTTTGTTTCTTTAACATATAGATTCATGATGGACTCCTTGTGCATGCAAGTGATGCCAACACATCACAAAAGAGACGCTGTGGGTTTGTGATCCGTTACGTTCCCACCTGTGCTTACCCCACAGAGGTAAGGCCGACGTTTTTCCCTGTTTTGAAAGAATCAGAGTTTCATCTTGTATTTTTCTGTTTTACTGTTTTACTTACTTATTTTACTTCTGTTTCTTAGGATCCTGATCGTCCAAGGAAGTTTCATGCAACAAAGTTGGTCAGCGGGACAGACGCATTCAATCATTTCTCCAACAAAAGCACATGAATATAAGTATTCATGTGACTACAGTCCAATTTGCAAGACCAGGAGTTAATATATGTTACAGAAATATAATGTGTTGTTAAAGCAAATGTTTAAGTTTTATAATCAAATCAAATTTCAGATTATTGATATATTTATCACATTTCTGTCATTTTTTGACATAACTTGCTGTGTTTAAATTCCTTTAAGACTATATCATGAATTAATTAAATAATTGAATGTGTAGAAACTGTTTTGTGCCATAAACTGGTTTGTAAAATTTGAAATAAATGACAAATTGCATACAAACAAAAGAGACTCACGGCGATTCTGCTTTCCAACTAAAATCTTTATATCATATTAATGACGAAAAATCTACAATATGCCAAAAGCCAATTCAGTATGTTTGCTTGGTGTAACAGATTTGTTATAAATTTAGACCGAGTTCAACAGTAAAAAATTTTCTTTCTTTCTTTTTTTTTTACACAAAGCGCTGTTACATTCTTATTTAATGCACAAAGCAGAGTGAAGTCTACTTTGTGAAATTAAACTTATTAACTCTTAAATTTTTGCATTTTCCTGTTCAATTCTCATCATAAACAGAGATGCTCATACAGCTGTTATTATAAACAGTACTGTGCAAAATGCTTGAGCCAACCCTCGGTTCTGTATATTTTCCTAGCAAAATGGCTAATAGGTAATACAAATGGAATTATATTTTATATTCTAACAAGCTTGAAACTAAATATTTGGTGTGATCACCTTTATTCTTCAAAACAGCCTGAACTCTTGTAGGCAGATTTCTTGTAATTTCTTTAAGTAGTTTTCAGGAATAGCTATCTAGATTTCTTGAAGGACACTCAAAGCTCTTCTCTGAATGTCGGCTGCCTTTTTGTTCCATTCTCTGTCATTATAATCCCACACTGCTTGTTGAGATCTGGACTCTGGGGAGGCCAATCCATGGCTGATGATAGTGTTGCATAGGGCTTTTCCGGGTACCCTTTTACAGCTGTGTATTTGGGATAATTTTCATACTGAAAAATGAATCAGTGTTTTGCAAGATCTCCAGCACTACTGGCTGAAATGCAACCCAAACCATGACAGAGCCTCCACCGTGTTTTACAGATGGCTGTAGACTCTCACTGTTGTACCTCTTTCATAACCTCCTCTGTACACATTACTGACAGCTTTATCCAAAACTTCAAATTTGGACTCATCACTGCACCTGTAGTGGTTGATGCTCAGTCCAGTTCTTGTGTAATCTGCAGAAGTGCAGTGTTGTTTGTGAGCAGGTACGGTATGTTTGAGTTTTAATTTGTTTCAAACATTATTTCATTACAGTAGTTCACATTATTAACTACAACTGTGCATAAAGTGGCCTATCTGACCATCTTTGTACAATACACCTCACTCCTCCCTGCATGAATCTTTCTTTTTTATTCGTTCCTGTGGGGTGGAACTCAGCTCTCTCTAAGTCTGATACTGTCTCTCTCTTCTTGGTGAATTCTGTTTTGTAGCGCTTTTCACAGAGTTAATGTCAGAGTTAGAGAAATATCTGACAACGCAGATCCAGCGCAGGATTCATCCAGAATAGTTTTGTTACAAACCATACCACCGTGAAATCTGTGTAACAGTGTAACCGTTGACCTGACCAGTATTTACCATCAGCTCCTGACCCTTCCTCGTATCGAAGTTAGACTGTAATTGTGTTGACTTCCCTGTTGAAGCTGTTTTACGAAGCTTCGGGCAGAGCTGGAAGTACCCGCGCAAGGATACCGATGGTTACACTACACCCTCTTGCAGTAAAGGGAGGGTATGTTGTGTGTTGTGACACAATACAACACAATGACACAATAAACCAGCAGATCGAGTTATTTCTGACTCATCTACACATCGTGATCACTACATATTTCAATTTTTCAATTTCAATTTTTT